GTGTAGCTATTTGATAAGTTTCCACCAAATAATCAAACTTTTTGACACTATAATGTCAGATAAAGATGTAATAAAACTAGTCCACACAACACTTGACTGATGTGACAGTTAAATGTTAACATTTCTCTGATTTTTAGTATTTCAAGTACATGTTACAAAAAATCCAGAAGTTTCAATTTGTATAATCTTGAACAAGGCTCTGCCTTAAAATAAGGTTGATACCTTTTTTCATGTTATTCAGATTGCTTTTTCATATGTAAATGCAAAACTTTTACCTAGATCACAGTAATCACTGTTTCTTTCTATCAGAAGTCTTTTTTTTCTTCTTCCGTTGGCTGTATTGTTTATGTTTTTTCTCATGAGATTTAGAACCATTATGTTTTTGCTTTTTTATAATTTTCTCTGTTGATACTTGTGAAGCTGTCTCACTGTTAGTAGAGTTAACTCCTACCGAGTTTTTTTCACAACACACACGTCTTTTCTTTGTTTTTATTTCCTTCCATTCTTTCTTGGTTTTCTTACTGTCACTAGATAAAGATGATTCTCTTTTACATTTTTTTCTTCTCTTTTTCTTCTTCCTTAAAAACAATCATCAGAGAACTAAGTTTCTTCATACATATCCAGTTAAAGCATATAAGAACTTAGAATATTTTTGAATACATATAATCTGTTAGGGAAAGTAATATAATTTTAATAAAATCTTGTCGAAACGTTGTACATTTGCTGTTATGTTAAACTTATATTAAAGTTTTTCTTCATTACCCATTCAAGCCATCTCCAACCATTATTAGTCTCAAAGTGGGTTCCTCGTCGTCGAACTTTAGCATGCTATTTCTAGTATGTATAAACATACACTTGATGTCTGTAATTTCACTGTACTATAGAAAACATTTTGGTAATACGTAGAACTAAATTATAGGCAGAACATGACTGCACTTCTGTGAGAATTCCCTTCAACTCTATTGCTTGTTGAAGATGTGATTGTACTTTAAAACCTCCTACACTAGTGAATTTCATTGCTTTTAATTTCAGATGGACTCTTATACATTCCAAAATTTATCAAACACCTCAACAACACACACACACACACCAAATAATATGAAATTCATCAGACAAATATAAAATGTATTACACAGCCATTGTTATTATAAAACCTAATATACTTTTTCAAGTACAGTTTTTCATTCAAAACTTATACAAGTTATCTATACATTTTACAGATCTGTTATACTATCTAAATAAAATATTGAATTATGAATTTTCCAACTTATATATTCAAGGTGTATTTATTGCAACCCAACAAGTTTTTCTTAGGTACTAAGCTGACCACTATTAGGACATCAAATCAATCATATAATTTATGTTTATCACTTATTCTATCATAATAATTGTATTTAACAAAAGAACACAGTCTTTTTTATTGGATATTTTTAAAATACATGTAACATTTTAGATAATGCACGTGCAGTTTTCTTTATATGTTAAATGAACAATACCTTTTGTGTTTTTCTTTTGATGATTTTGTAGAATCACTCACAGAAACTTCTGGTGAATTAAATTCTTCTGGATAAAGTTCTTTATATCCTTGATGACCCCACCTATTCATAGAAATAAATGAGGTTCTACTATTTTACATATTTATGTTAGCTCCTTTATCAATTATATTTTGTTCTACTGTAGCATGCATGATGCTAAGAACTATATGAATAACCAAATTTTCTATTATAAACTTCACTCAAAAGCAATAACAGTATCTGAAACAATGCTGCTTGTGATAAAGTAGTAAGAGTAATTTGGTATTAAACATGCAAAGAGGTGATGACTTTCATCTTTTTTCAAAACAATTATATTTGGACACTGATACTTTAATGCCACAAAAATTGTGTAAAAATCAAATTCTCTATTTTACTATTATTAAAATTGAAAAAAAAAGTACTTTTTCTCCCCAGATTCATTTAATTTCATTCATTTTTGATAAACTGATCAAATTAAATAATTTTAAATATAATTTTAAAAATTTCAGATAAAAAAATTAAATATTTCATTCCCTTTTAAATTAACTGAAATTCAATACTGACTTGTGACAAAAAGGTCATACTTCAGTTCAGTTTTGTAACTTTTTCATTGGTAAAACAAAAATGCTCTATGTGTAAAGAATGTGCAGAAATTGTAGAACTTTAAACCATTTTATATCATACACTGTATGAGCATAATGGTAATATTTTTCTGATCACCAAATGAAAAATAGCATATACATAAAACATTAAATTTGGCATTTTAATTTCAAAATTTCTGCAACAAGTACACTTTAAAATCTTACTGAAAAAAAAGTTAATCAAGAAACCATGAGGAAAAAATGTACATATTTTAGAATACAGGCTTGCACTACAATTGTATATTACATTCAGATTTATTTGAACTAACCTTTAATCTTCATCAGACAAAAGCTTTTTCTTATCCTTTTGGGGATGTAACCAGTGGTAACGCAACAGTTTATTTTGGCACTGCCACAACAATATACAATATATAAACAGTTGAACCAAAGCTTTCCATACTTGAGAAGCCTAGCACAAAATCAAGAAAAAAGGCTGAAGTAGAATCAAGACAACATAGGTATAAGATGAGACAGAGGTAGGTGGGAAAAAACTGGCAAAATCTCTTCTGTCATGAACGAGAAACATAGGCAGAGGTATGTCAGAGACAAAAGAAAGCTCAGGCCATACGAAAGACTCCATCACTCAACACACAAAAGTCATCATCTCTCCCAACACACAAAGATAAACCCAATGCCAATATAGTTGGTAGGCTAGCATGAACAAAGTTGTGTTGTTTCCCACCGTACAAAGTAGAAGTTACTGACACTTGTGAAACAATGTCTTTGTATATACTTCTACTGTAAAATACCTATATCTGAAAAGTTCATGAGCTAAAAAAAACAACAAAAAAAAACAAACATCGTCATACGTGTCAAATCGAGAAACGATGGTTGTGATCTACAGAATAGAGGAAGTCAGCTGCACTAGGAGGGTGAGTCACACTCCTATTGGTGGAGGGTTGTTGCATGCTCATTTGCTAGTGGCAAGCAAAAATGGAGCATTTAGAGGACATCACAAATCGAGGAAAGCTATTATATGAGAAGTTGTAAGGTGTCGTTTCTGAAAAAGATATGCTACCTAAACTAAATATTTCCAAGATGCAAGCAGAAAAACATTTGAATTTAAGGGTAGATACCATTCTTTCATCTGTTATCACATACCTTCTGTAATTTTGAAACAGCTATCAATATAAAGCCAATTATAAACTAGTGTTTGATTAGATCTTATTTTAACAACTGTACAGATGGTGTATATATGTGCATACGTACAGGATGGTCATACAGTGATTACAAATGAGAAATAGTAAATCACAAACTCAATTTCATAGCACATTGTTTTCGATAAACAATGATAAAATCTGGAGTACTTTCCCATAAAACACTATCAGAAAAAAAAAGTCAAAGAATAAATATAATTTAATTCAAGTGATTAATGAATAATATGCATACAAAAACTTAAAAAAGGCAACTATACTGATGTTACAACATGAAGCAGTTATAATTTAACCTTCTGAACATAGGGGGTTTTTACTTTTGTAAGTAGTGTACATGAGGATTAAACTTGGTGATAAATCAATGATAGAATCTTCCAAACCACATTCAGAAAATATAACAATAGTACTGTCAGAAGCTCATTATGCCAAATATCCATGTATCTGGGGTATTTTGTGTTTCTAAGGGGGACTTAAAAATACTAATGTTAACAAATGAATACTCTTGTACTTAGCTTATATCGCAAGTGTTAAATTATTCAAAATTACAAGTTTAATCTTAAATAATAAACATGTGTAACAAATAAAGTTTTGTTAACATTTCAGTTTCTACCAGTATGAACAAATTCTGACTTATGACCACATACACTTACTAATAACCCTCTGGATACAGGTAAGTAAAAGTTTGCATGTTATAATATTTTTACAAAGTTACATTCAAAACATAATTACACCATTTTATTATCAATTTATACCAATAAACTTGAAATCAATAAACAGTTAATAAATCAAGTTTTAATTTCTTATTTCAAAAGGAAATATTTAAAAAAATTCTCATTCTTCATTTTTCTGTATCACATGACATTTTGTCACTCCAAATTACACATTTTAGATAATATTTCCTCTCCTATTTATGCTTCCGAGTTTTAATGCTAATTACACACTTTTATTAAAAATATTACTTACTAGGATATAATGTAACATTATAGCCTCCAATCATCTTGTTTTACTTCAATTTAAACCAGTGTTATGGCAGAGGATATAAATTAAATATAGTTTTACTGAAGAAAAAGTTTTAAGAGGTTCTAGAGGTTATGCAAATGAAATCTGAAAACCATAAAATGAAAAAAGTATTTTTAATATTAACATGAAAATCATCTTGCACTCAGACTAGTCTGA